TGATTCTTGCATTCATTTTCTCACTGAAATCAAGTAGTGCCCGGAATAGTCCATTATTTATGAGGTATTAACAGATGTTAAATAATTCTATCTTTCTTTTTTGTCACTGAAACCAAGTAGCGTCTATGATAGGTCTTTTTTCTTTCCAACCAATCAAAACTGAATAAACATTACTTTATGAGGTATTAGCATGGCGTATATATATATATATATATATATATATATATATATATATATATATATATATATATATATATGTATGTATGTATGTATATGAAGAAAAATATACGGAAAAACAAACAAAAATCCTAATATGCAATTATGCTGTTTCAATGTTAATATAATGTCAACGTCGGACGTTTCGGTCTAATAGACCATCTTCAGAACATATTCATAAAACATAATTAACATTAGACTATATTCAATTCAACATGAAAAAGACGATGGACATAAGAGTAAGACTAATCCAAACAGATAACTGAAATTTTTATAAGATTAGCGTTCCGTTTTAATATGATCACGTCGTCGTCACGTGGGCGATGTTGTGAAAACGTATTCGAAGCTGATTTCAAAATATTAGATAAGCTCGATTGAACGATTTTTCTCATATAAAATGTTGATAAGTTTGTGTCGGGGAATGGTAACAATACCTATATCTGTATATCTTTGTGAATCAATTTATTTTTATTATACCAAAAATCGAAAGCTTCTGACAGATAATGTCAGAATAAATCTCTGATAAACACGTAAGAGATAAAGATGTCCACTATTCTATGAAGCCAAGACAGATAAACAGGTCTTATCTACCTCATATATATATATATATATATATATATATATATATATATATATATATATATATATATATATATATATGAATTGATTGGCTTGTTTGTTTAACGGCATATCAACTACTTATAGGTCATTTAATACCAAAATTTATTTTTCTTGGGGGCTTTGTAGTAATAAAATATGATATATGTTATTCTGCTTTCACACTTGAATACATGGTAGATGATACTCAGATTTTGCGCATATACATATTTGCGTGAACATAATTACTTTCATAGTGGTTTGTTTTTGCTTATAGCTGGCATCAGACGATATGAAAAGAATTTACATAAAATAAATAGACAACACTTGTCTATATTATTTAATGAAACGTATCAATCTCTCTCTCTCTCTCTCTCTCTATATATATATATATATATATATATATATATATATATATATATATATATTGTTGGATTACCGCCCCCTGACGATAATTACAGGTTGTGCAAGATTTGAAAAAATCCATCTCGGTAACTTTTCATAGCAAAAACGTGTATTCTATTCGCTCCCGCCGACTTGTAATTACCTAAACTAAAGACACTGAAGGTTTCTTCGAACTCTTCACCTTTAATTTTATTCCTCATTTTTCCTTTTTGTAGTATGTCCAGTTAATATATTTATTAAAACTTGTTTGTTAAATTCAATGATTTATGTTTCTTTCCTTCTTTTTTTTTTTTTTTTTTTGTCCACCAATATTGTTTACTGGACAAATGTACAAGCAGCATTAAACATTTATTTAAGTAGTCCACACCTTGTATCAAAATACTAAGTCCCGTAACATTACCTCTCTCTCTCTCTCTCAATCTATATATATATATATATATATATATATATATATATGTGTGTGTGTGTGTGTGTGTGTGTGTGTGTGTGTGTGTGTGTGTGTGTGTGTGTGCAAATATATGGATATAGATCCGACAGTATGAAGAAAAATATACAGAAAAAACAAACAAAAATCTTAATATGGAATTATACTGCATTAATGTTAATATAAAGTCAACGTCGGACGTTTCGGTCTATTTTAGACCATCATCAGGACATATTCATAAAACATAATTAACATTAGAACATATAAAATTCAACATGAAAAAGCTGATGGACATAAGAGCACAACTAATCCAAACAGATAACTGGAATTTTTATATAAGATCAGTGTTCCGTTTAAATATGATCACGTCGTCGAAAATTGTTCCATCGAGCTTATCTAATATTTTGAAATCATTTTTGATTTACTTTATAACATGGAAGACTTCAAGCTTGTATGAAAATATAAGAACCTATTGATCTCTGCGTATTCCTATAAGAACGGAAAGGATTTCTTAACGAACTGTTTATATGAGAAAATAGTTCAATCGAGCTTATTTAATATTTTGAAATCATCTTCGAATACGTTTTCACAACATCGCCGACGTGACGACGACGTGATCATATTTAAACGGAACGCTGATCTTATATAAAAATTTCAGTTATCTGTGTGAATTAGTTGTGCTCTTATGTCCATCGTCTTATTCGTGTTGAATTGAATATAGTCTAATGTTAATTATGTTTTATGAATATGTCCTGATGATGGTCTACAATAGACCGAAACGTCCGACGTTGACATTATATTAACATTAATACAGTATAATTGCATATTAAGATTTTTGGGTTTTTTTTCTGTATATTTTTCTTCATATATATATATATATATATATATATATATATATATATATATATATATATATATAGAAAAATATAGTCTTAAGATGTGCTATATTTATGGGATAAAGTGCTCAATATCAGAGATAGAGCGTGTGTAAATGTAAAGTGAACATAGAAGTCAACACTTAGAGGCGGCAGTCTGTGTCATGCTAGGTGGCCTGACGATTGCATCTAGCATGAAACAGACTGTCGCCTCTAAGTGTTGACTTCTATGTTCACTATTATATTTATATGTGTGTGTGTGTGTGTGCGCGCGCGTGTGTGTGTGTTTGTGCTTAGATATAGTAGTCAAAGTTTTTCGAGAGATAAAAATCAACAAAAATAAGGACATTATCAATAAGACTAATGTTATTTCTTTTATGTTAGTCAACCTTTTGGCAAATTGAAGCATGATGAGACAGATGTTAAAACCCGGGATTTTCATACTCGCCTGTGTCCTTTCTAAACTAGACTTTGTGATTTTTCATTCGGGGTATTTTTTTTTCTTCCGTATGTGATATATTACAGAAGAGATCTCATAATTTGGGGCCAATTGTTTGCAACGGTTAGGGTTATAGAAGACTTTTTGTGGGAAATATATTCTTGAAATAAATTCACACTTTCTAGGTTAAATAGGAATTTAGGCAGATCAATTTATAGAGTTTCTACAAAAAAAAAGCTTTCTACAGACTCTCTACAACCCTCATCCTAGCAAACAACAAACCCAAACAACCCACTCAGTAACCAGTGGCTTTATTGCTTTGTGTGGGATGAAATGAAAAAGAAAATGTTTATTCGATTAAGCATTATCAACCATAATTAATTTCTGATTAGAATTTCTTTCATCTTAATTATAGTTGATTTTCATCGCAACTAGCTAGACCGTTATCATACAATATTATTAATTTGATTTTTATTAGATAAAGTATTGTTAATCATTATGATTTTGACTAGATTTTCTGTCATCTTAATTTCAGTTGTTTTTTTTTTGTCGCAATTACCCACGGTTATTAGTAATATTATCTTGATTTTTTTAAAATGAAATATAATTTTTTATTTGAAGCATTTTAAACTCTTATTAATTTTTATTGACTTTCTTACCTTTTAATCTCAATTGCTTCTTATCGCATCTACACAGACCATCATTCCACGACTATTAGTAATATTTTAATATTTTCATTACTAAAACATTATCAACCATTATTATTGTTTTAATTCCTCTTCTTTTTTTTTTTTTTTTTTTTTGCTCCATTGTCCCTTCAGGATGTATGTGATCATGGTAATCCCCAACTTCCTGTTCGTTTTAGCTCTAAGTATAATTTGATTTTTGCTGTCTCTCCTAATCCCTGTTCTGCCAACACCAGTTCATTGCTTTCCTTTGTCTCTTTTGCCTTCAATAGGTCCTGTGGGTGTCAAATTTTCCAAGTCTTCTTCCCTCAATATGTTCTCTAGAAATTTCAACTATCTTTTTTCTGATGCTACCTTTAAATGTCTTTTTTGTTTCCATTTTCTCTAAAACTTCGTCGTTGCTCAGATGTTCAGTCCGTGGTGTTCTCAGCATCCTTCTGTAGAACCGCATTTCTGTCGCTTCAAGTCACTACTTTATCTGTTATGAGATTATCGATATCACATTCTATATTTTTTCATTAGTATTTCTTTAATCTTAATATCAATCGCTTCTTACCGCAACTGCCCAGAGCATTATTCTATGGTTATTAGTAATATTATTTTGAATTTCTATTAGCGAAA